TGTGATCTGAGAGGATGCTTGAAATGATATTTCAATCTTCTTGAACTTATAGAGGTTTAGTTTGTGCCCTAACATGTGGTCTATCTTTGAGAATGTCCCATGTGCACTTGAGAAGAATGTAAATTCTCTAGTTTTGTAGTGCAATTCTCTGTAGATATCTATTAAATCCATTTGGTCTAGTGCTTCATTTAGAGTCTCTGTTTTCTTGCTAATTTTTTTGTCTAGAGGTTCTATCCAGCGGTGTCAACGGGGTGTTGAAGTCCCCTGCTATGATTGTATTGCTGTTGATTTCCCTTTGAAGTCCTCCCGAAGGTTTTTACTATATTTTGGTGCTCTTATATTGGGTGCATATATGTTTATCAAGGTTATATCTTCCTGTTGGGTAGATCCTTTCACTATTATGTAGTGGCCTTCTTTGTCTCTAGTTATGGCCTTCATTTTGAAATCTACTTTATCAGAATTAGTATTGCTAGCCCAGTTTTTTTTCCCTTTCCCTTTGCTTGGAAATTTTTTTCCCATCACTTCCAACCTATGTGAGTCTTTTGTTGTGAGATGGGTCTCTTTTAAATAACATGTAGATGAGTCATGCTTTCTTATCCAATCAGCTACTCTATCTTTTTATGGGAGCATTCAATCCATTTACATTTAAGGTGATTATTGATATGTACTTATTTATTGCCATTTTTGTTTAGTGTGGTTATATTTTTCTTCCTATTTCTTCTACTAATTACAGCAGTCCTTTTAATATTTCTTGCAGTGCTGGTTTGGTGTTAATATATTCCCTTAGCATTTTTTTTTTTTTTTGTCTGGGAAGCTCTTTATTTGACCTTCTATTTTGAATGATAGCCTTGCTGGGTAGAGTAGTCTTGGATTCATATCTTTGTTTTTCATGACCTTGATTACCTCATGCCATTCCCTTCTGGCCTGTAGTGTTTCTATTGAGTAGTCAGCTGAGAACCTTATGAGGTTCCTTTGTAGGTAACCTGTTGCTTATCTCTTGCTGCCTTTAGGATTCTCTCTTTGTCTTTAATTTTTGGCATTTTAATTACTATGTGTCTTGGTGTTGGCTCTTTTTACATGGGGCTCTCTGGATTTCTTGAATTTGAATGCCTTCTTCCTTCACCAAATTAAGGAAGTTTTCTGTCACTATTTCTTGAAATATATTCTCTAATCCTTGCTCATTTTCTTCTTCTTCAGGGACGCCTATGATGGGAATATTATTACATTTCTAGTTGTTCCACAGTTCTCTTAAGGTGTCTTCCTTTTTTTAAATTATTTTTTCCTTTAGGTTTTCTGATTGGTTGATTTATTCTACCCTGTCTTATAATTCACTGATCCGGTCCTCAGCTTCCTCTACTCTGCTGTTTAGACCTTCCAGGGTGTTCTTTATTTCTGCTATGTCGTTCTTCATTTCTTCTTGGTGGTTTTGAATTTCCAATTGGTTGATTTTCAACATTTCTATGTCTTTACTCATGATGTTGATGTCCTTACACTTCCTCAAGATCATGGCTCTGAATTCTAGCTCTGTTAACTTGCTTAACTGCTCCTCATGTATCTCATCTTTAGTAGAGGTCTCTTGTTCATTTGACACTTGTTTCTTTATTTCACCATTTTGGCTATCAGAGTGGGCTTTGGAGCCTGCCAAATTTTCCCTGTGGGCGTTGGTGTTCTGCTCTTTGTGCCTCTCTCTCCTGGGTTTGGATGAGCCTGGGAGAACTCACATTAAACACCACTGTCAAGTCTTACTTTCCTGGGTAGAGTTGCAAGCCCAGTGATGGTTCAGTCATCCTCTAGCTTTTTGCCTGGAGGCTATTAGTCATGGTTACTCGAAGAGCCTTGTTTTCTCAGTTCAATGAAAAACTCCCTCAGGTGCTCAGCTTAAGGGGATTTCCTGAGGGTGGAGCAGATGCTGCTTTTTAATGCTCCTCAATTTGCATTTCAATGGCCCACCAGGTGGGGTTGAATCTCCACTGGAGGGGCCACTGCCTCTCCGCAGAACCCTGGGAAGGGGTAAGATGGCCACTGTCCTGCGTGGCTGCAACTCAGCAGAAGCTCTGAGTGCCCTGTAAATCCCGAGTGTCCCCACACAGCTCCAGTCCAGTCCACCCACCCTCTGCTGGAGCCCAAGGTGAGTGGCTATGGCTATTTTAGCGTCTGTCCCAGCTCTGTGCTATTGAGTCGCTTGAGAGTGTAACCCCGAGGACACTGCTCACAGCTAAGGCCGTTTCTATCCGTGGGCTCCCAGCCCCCCCTCACACCTCTGCAATCCTACCAGGATCCAGTCAGTGTCCCTGGTTATATGGTCCTCGCAAGCTGCTTTTCTGTTGCTTTTTCTTGATGATTTGTCTTTATTTTTGTTGTCATTCCTGTTTGGTCCTGGGAGACGGTCTGTGTAGCTTCCATTCACCCCACCGCCATTGTGGAATCCTCAGGGCTTTGCTTCTCGTTCCTCAACAGCAAGGGAAAAGGCGTTGACTTGAAGTTTTTTTTCAAAGGAAATCTCTGAGACCAGGACATGCCCGAATCCAAGGCCTTTACACAATTTGAGGGTGAATCGTTTCTCCCCGAAGGATCGCTGGGTTGACCCAGACCCAGAGGCACACTCAACTCAGTCACACAAACAGCACCTTGGTCAGCTCCCGGAGCCGCGGAGCTGGGCCTCCTCCCAGGCGGCAGCAGTGCGGCTCCTGCCGGTGGGACTGCATTTGGGGCAGGGGAGGCCTCTGCTCGGGAGCTGGGGCCCTGCACTGACCGGGACCTGGGGGAGCTGGGGTGTGGGCCGCGCGTTCATGGCTTTGCCCCAAATGAATGCTTTTCACAAAATGTGTGTTGAGGCGCCAGGGACCCGAGTAGCGTGCTGTGTTTTCCTTGCTCAGGCTCCTACACAAATGTTCTGTGAAAGCGCCTGCCCCTGTGAAGACATACACTAGACAATATGAACCCGCAGGGCAGAGTGTGCTTGCCCCACGTGGGTGAGTTTCTGCTGCAGTCACCAACCCCACCACGTGTGTTCCATGCATTGTGCACAGGGCTGGACTTTTCCACAAACACACGGTGTAACCTCACAGCCAGGGCGGCTGTTTCAGAGCTCACAGTAAAAACTCAGCAAACTCACGGGCATGGGGGAAAAGATGGTGGGAAGGCTTGGGAATCCCCCAAACTGCTCAGTGAACACAACTAGGTCAGTGGAAAAAATCGTATGAACACTTTTCACTTTAGTCGATTCTGCGGCCCCTAGTTCTGCTGGTCGGTCATAGCTGATATCATTAGTGCTTTCTGGGCATGCTGGTATGCCTTTTTATTTTATTTGTTTCTTTATTGATTTTAGAGAGAGAGGGAGGGACAGGGAGAGAGGGATAGAAACATCGATGAGAGAGAACATCGATTGGCCACCTCCTGCATGGCCCCCACTGGGAATCGGGCCCACACCCTGGGCATGTGCCCTGACCGGGAATCGAACTGGTGACTTCATGGTGCAGGGTCCACGCTCAACCACTGGGCCACACCGGCCGGGCCAGGCTGTATGTCTTTCACAGGGGTTGACTCCCAGGACTCGGCGTGATCATCCACATTACAGCCCTCACGCTGCGGAAGAGAGAATGGACACTGAGAGGTTCAGGGACTTGCCCAGTTTGGGCAGCAGAGGCGAACAGCCAGGAATGCAGACCGTGGAACTGGGAGCCTAGCACGGCCTCCCGGCGTCTGTCCCATCCCCCGTCAGGGCCACGCGCGTGGACAAGGTCCTTCTTATCTGCTAAATGAAATTTATAAATACCTGTTTGTTTTGCCTGTCTTCAACGGGCAGAGTGTGGCATGAAGTGCTGGATAATATAAAAGTAATGTCCATTGGCTTTGTAAACACTGTGATACACTCTACCGTTGTACCCTTTTAAGCGTGCAGTTCGTAGCACCCAGCCCGTTCACACTGCTGTGCAGCCATCCCCACACCCATCGTGAAGCCCGAGTTCTCTCTGTGCGTCATCTGCTCTCACTGGCCCGGGAGGCTCCAGACCACCCAGGTCATGCCGCTGTGTGAGGGGCGCTCCGTCCTACAGGAAGGACAGCCAGCTCTCCGGCCCAGTGTGAGGGGGAGGGAGCGGGAGGAAGATGGCCATGCCCATGTGCCTGTGCCCCACCCTTTCAGAACCAAAGCTGCATGGTAGGTGGAGCAAGGACTCGTGAGCTGGTCTCAAGAGGCAGCTGTCCCGGAGGGCTCTTCCCGTGACTGCCGTCCCTAGTACTCAGGTTCTGGCTCATGATAGCAGCAGGCAGGGCACTGCGCCTGGAGTCAACGGCAGGGGTAAGTTCATTACGGTCCCCCCAGACCAGGTGAGACACAGGTCAGCACACACAGGGGCCCTGGCCAGCACCGGTCGGCCATGCCACATCAGAGGTCAGCAAGGACCAGGGGGCCACGTGCAAGTCCAGGCTGGCTCCCTGTCACCCAGGCACCCTCTGCGTGGGCCCATGTGGGAGTGGGGAGAAGACGTCAACAAACCTGCTTAACCCAGAACAGACTGAGACAGCATTTATTTTATTTCCAGGGAGCACATGTATATACTGTTGTTAATCCTCACCTGAGGACATTTTCTCCATTGATTCTGAGAGAGGGGGGAGGGATGCAGGGAAGGAGAGGAGAGACGCATTGACTGGCGGTCTCCCACCAGCGCCCGGACCGGGGCTGGGATCGAACCTGCAACCCAGCTACGTGCCCTTGAGCGGAATCGAACCTGAGACCCTTTGGTGCCTGGGCCAATGCTCTAACCACTGGGCCACTGGCCAGGGTCAGGGGGCGTATATTAATTCAGTCTGTTCTGCCTTGTCCCCCTGGATGCAAATAGGAGATGACCGTCAGGATTTTCCTTTGTGGAGACTCCTTCAATCATAAGTGAGCCAGCTATGATGGTTTATTACTAACAATGAATTAATGTGAATTATCAAGTACACATCAGCTCCTCCGTCACTACCCACTGCCCAGCATCAAATACAATCACCCGAAAGAGAATTCCAGATTTTATTAGAGAATATATCTAAAATACAGCATTTATTTACTTAGGATATATTATCTGGATGGAAATATACTCTGTATCACAACTATAGTTATAACAATTTTTACAGATAATATCTCATGTACACCTCTGTAATTCGAAAGTCACTAAATTACAACAGAGTTCATAGTTAAGATAATGTTGCTACAAATATATAAGAAATTTAAAGTTTCTCTTTCATACGACATCTTGGAGTCAGGAACATTGACTTCATCGGGTTCACATCACGCAGAATGGGGAGTATTTCGCCTGATTTCATCACACCGCTCGGTTGACCTCAGGATAAGATCTGAGCTCAGTGCGGTTCTTGCTGCTTAAGACGCGCTTTCGGGGCAGCGCTCACCCCGGCGCTGTGAGCAGGTCAGGGCACCTCCTGCTCTCCCTCGAGTGAGACGCTCCTACAGAAAGGCCAGGCCGGGCGAAGCGCCCGCAGCAATGCTGTCAGCTCCCCCACTTTAATAGGAAGCAAGCTGGGCGAGAGATGAGGGTGTAGGTTCGGGACGCCAAGCAGCCAGGGTCCGATTCGCGGAGTAGATTGCGAGCCGGCAGGGAGTCCCGACTGGCCGCGGGACACGGGGCCTGGGACGCTCTCACTGGAAGGACGCCCGGACCTGCCGGCCTTTCAGGGGCTGTGCGGGGCGCCAGTTGTCCACCATGGGTTTCTCTGCTTCCCCCTCCCCACTGAAGCTGAGCTGACGGAACTTCGTCATCTGAAAGAACAAACGTGGACGCTTCGGCAGGACTGACTCACAGGCCGGGTCCCATCTCGCAGCCCACCCCCAGCAGTCACGGCACGTGCTCCACGTCCCCACTAGGTACGTGATCACACACGGATCGCACAGTCTGCCTCTATAAAACACACAGAATCCTTGCTGCCGTTTGAAGGGACATTTCCAGTTAAGGAGATGTTTTCCTTTTGATGTTATCATCAAAAGCCTATAAATGCCTCCGAGATATAAAAGAACAACAACAGTTCTAAATGCAAATTACAGTTCTGTCCTCTGCCCCAGGGAAGATAAAGGACAGCGTGTGCGCAGCTGATAGGATGGTTCAGCGTCTGTGAGCCCAGCAGCCGAAAGATAGACAGACACACGGAAATGCAGGGAGGAATGTGCCCGAGCTGGGAGCTCGCTGAGTCCCTGTCTTGGTTGATTTTTATTCCCTTTTAAACCTGTTTCCTGGCCCCGTGGTGGACATAGGCAGCCCTTAGCCCGTCTCCCACTTCTCAGAGGTGGTTTCACACAGGGGTTCTTCCCTTTCCCTACTGGAGACGTGGTCTAATGAAGGTCAGTGGCCAGGACTCAGTGGTCTTCCCCTGATCTGTTTGGTTCAGTAACATTCCCATAGCCACCCCACAAGGTCAGCTTCGGTCCGGGTCCAGCCGGGGCCGGCACCTGCCTTGGCTGCCACGCCCTCGCCGCCTGACCGCACGGACCGCCCGGCTGGGAAGACAGGTGTGCGTCATGGCTGCTCCAGCCACGTGGCCTGAGTTTGGGTAGATATCTCTTCTCCGTGGCTAACCCTCGCCTTGGCCAGAGCCAGAGTCAGGATGCTGAGGATTCTCCTGATCCCGTGTAACCTCGGGCGTGAAATCCCTTCGGCCAGGGCCTCTGTTTTCCCAGTGTTCATCAGAAAGCATTGATTAGGGGACAGACCCTCTCTCACCTGACCTCCACTGTCCAGTTGCGCAGCCTTGGGTTGTGGTCAATAACAAGCAATGCTCATTGCAGGCCTGCTGCTCGGCCCTGTGCACAGCCGGGGGCCCCAGGTCTGCCTGCCACAGCCCCTCACCTGCACCCCCACCCCGTCAGGGGGACCCACCTGCTCACTGCTCACACTGATGGGCTCCCTGAGCACAATCCAGGTCACGCACTCCAGGAGAGGGGGCGTGGTCAGCGAGCCGGGGTAGGTCCAGTAGTCCAAGCTCGACGGAAGGAGCCCGCGAGGGTCGAAGTCGGTGAAGGCGGCGCTCTTGCCCTGGCCCCAAGCAAACACTCAGGTGAGATGTGTCACGTGACTGGAGTGGAGGCGGCATAATAATAGCCTCAACATAATATTTTTAGAGAGAGGTCCATATTCACCAGATAACATAACAGAAAGGGCTTAGCGGAAGAGGTTTGACTTGGAAGTCTGGACCGGCAGATGTGAGCAGGACAGCCCGCCGGACCTCACTCGGTGAGCTGACCTCGAGGTCCATCAGGTGTCCCAAATGGCAAGGTTTCATTCTTTCACGGCTGAGTGATGTTTTATTCTCTATCTCGCATCTTTGTATCTGTTCTTTTGCTGGTGGACACTGTGTCTGTTCCCTGTAGGCTGTGTCCCTGCCTTGGCTATTGTGAATCATGGCTGCAGTGAGTGTGAGGTGCTGGTGTCCTACTGACTTAGTGTTTTCAGGTCAGGTTTATCCTGTGGGTCAAGGGGTCGAGTAGAAGCGGCAGGTGAGCATTTCAGTAGACACAGCTGCTTCCGTGTGAGGATGGGCTTCCTGGAGCCAGACCTGCCCCGGCCCTGCAGGAGTTAATTTACCCAGATGTCCCAGGACCTCGACCCAGTGTGCTGTAGGAGGCGTCTGAACACGGACAAACCCATTCGAGGAGGTCGCAGAGTAAAAGCCTCCACGAAGCAGGGCCTTCTCCATCGTGTTCACCATTGTAGTGAGGGGCTGGCACGTGGCAGGTACTCAAGAAAGCCTGTGTGAGTGAGGGAGTAACGGCCCGAGGGTCTTCCAGCCTCTTCCCATCACGAGCCCCTGACTCGTGCACATGGGCGGTTGGAGAAAGAGAAGGAATACTAAAGCACAAGTCTAAACATCAGACTCGCGTGAGTCAACTTTTGGATAAAAAAGAGTTAAATACATTTTACCTTTATTAATCACGTCCCAAACACCACTTGTCAAATGGAAACTATTCCATTTGAACAAAATACTTGTCCATAGCCAGTGGGGTATGGAAAACAGACCCTCGGAGGTGGCAGGAAATGCAACTGTACCTTTGTTTTAATGGAAGCCAGCACGTCGACGACCTTCTGTAGGCCCGGTTTAGCATCGCCAACCTGCAGAAAGACACAAGGGACGAGACACTGTATTCCGGGTGGCACCACACCAGTTTGGATCTGGGCAGCGTATTATAACATTTCTGCAAATAGTGAACCCAAACCCCACGCTTGCCACCTGGCGTGTCAGTCTTAGCGTGATTGTACCCTCACTATGACTTCCCTGTGAATATCGACGGCCACCCTTGGCTTCTACCCCTGCCGCCCCCTGAAATGACCCTCCCGACCTGCTCCAGCATCCACAAGTCCTCCAGCTGCCCCAGGAAGACCACTGGTCAAGTGCTCACCTCAGTCTGCTGTGGGATTCTATGGGCCTCCCTCGTTTTACAGTCTCCCCTGTGGCTTTCCTTCTGCCTCCTGCCCCCACATCCCCGGACCCTCGTGTTCCTTTGGCCGTTCCATCAGCATCTTTCCCGAGGCCCCCAGTCCCCATGCGCTCCATGCCTCGGATGATCTCACGGACTCAGGACTCACCAGCCAGATGGCCCTCCGCTGGCTTTCCAGCTGGGGCAGCTCAACCTGCCTGCCCCGCTGCCTGAAATTCTCCAGTGCGGGGCCCCTGTCCTCCAGCCCACAGAGCCTGCTCTTCAGTTAGCATTAGGGGGTCCAGATGAGTCCCCCCAGAGGTGCCTCTGGTGAGCAGATTGTTTGGAGCTAAAGTCAACTTGAGCTGCAGCCTCAGGAGAAACTTCTGCCTCTCCCCCTAACTACCGAGAAGAATTTGAATTAGAGGCCTTGCCTTTAAGGGATGACCAGAGATAACTCCGACTGACATAGCTGTAGGGCAAATTTCTACTAATTAAGGGACTGCTTTTATCATGCAGTGACCGTCACACCCCCAAGGCACCTGGGCCCTCGCTGGCTGGGATGTCTTACTCCCATGCTCCCTGTCTGCCTCAGGGCCACTCCTGTGTGGCTCTCTGACTCCCCCATGTCCGCGGGGTTCCCACACATACGTAGGTATTCAATTTGCTTATTTGCTCTTGTCTCATGTCGGTATGCTGATTAGATTGGTGAGGGCAGAGAAAGTGTGTCTCCCCACAATCATCTACTAAGAAATAGCACTGTCCAGCTTCAGGCTGAATTAGGAAGCAAACTGGCAGGCGTGGGCGGTGTGCCTCGGCCGCCTTCCTTCCACCTGCCAGGTGTGCGTCCTCACGTTCCCCTGTAACAGTGCCTAGTGAACACGGCAGGCCTCTCCGCCCGCCTCAGCCCGCCTCCCCGCACTGGCCCACAGGGGGCAGAGTGGGCCTGGAAGCCTTGTGAGCCAGAGGCGTCCCCAGGCCCTCTGTGGACCGTCCAGTCGCGCCTCTCCTGGGAACGGGAAAGAATCTGGCCGTCCACTCACCTTCAGAAACACACCCAGCACAGCCAGCCCGTCGGGCTGCTGCACAGCCTTGCTGAAGGCCCCATACTTGGTGTTCCAGTGGACCAGGTGCAGCTGCACAGGAGACAAGGCACAGCCATGAAGCCAGCAGGCACCCCTCCCCCCAAGTCCACTGACCCCCCGACTGCCTGATCCCCTGAACCCTCAACCCCCAGGCTCTGCACAGCTCAGGTCTCCAAAGCAGCAGCAGTTTCAAACAGAGACCTCTCCTTCATCGTAATTCTGATGACCCACTGTCTGCATCTAGCACGTGATTTCATCGACAACCAGCAGATGCATATTCTGGGGAAGACACAGGTTCTGTCTCAGATTTCTATAGAAGCAGGGTCTCCCCCTTGGAGTCATTCACTCCACGCCAACACTGTCCTTGGAGCGGGGAGAACACCACAGGCAAATGGGAGGGCCCTTTGTGACAGAAGCAGTTCCTCCGGTTCGCGTCCAATCTACAAAATTAAGCTTTGGGAATGAATGCTAAATGTCACTTTGCATTTTTCCCAGAAAGAAGATAGGCACCTCACCTCTGCTGAGTATTTTTTCTTGTCCACCGTGTGCTCAGAGCCCTGCCCGTCACAGGAGCCCCAGTGAAAGTGAAATTGAATCAGTCTGTAGGTGTCAGCGAGAGGTCCTTCCTTCAGCACTGGGAGGTAAGACAAATACATGCATGTGTGTGTGTACACATATGTGTACACATGCACACTCATCCAGGTGCTCAGAAAACACACACCATAAACACTGCCTTTGAATCCCGTTTCATAGTTCTGCATTATGCCTGCGACAACATTTTCACTTTGAAAATGAAATCCAGACTCAGGTTTCATCCACAGCGCTGATCAAAATCTTTGCAACTGTCTCCCTCAGTGTGCTGCCTGAGGGACAAATGCTTTTCCCATCTGTGTTCTGAGCACAGTGACACCTCTTCTGTTTGCCTTGGGGTCACAGATTCAGGGGCAGAGAGGAAACTTTGAGGAAGCTATTAATTCCTCCTGTGGGACTCAGAGGAAGTAGGTTCCCCGGTACTGCTGGCCAGAGCTGGCCTCCTGTACACTCAGGAAAATGTGGGAGCCGTCCCCCCTCGGCCCGGGGACTGTCCGCAGCGGCTCAGCTGAGAGTTTCTGCAATAGAAGCATTCTTGATCTCAACGCTCTCAAATCCTTTTCCTCACGAGTTTTTCAATTTCTTTAGTAGTCATGACCATCCAAATCCAAAGGCCACTGACTAGCTTTGTGCCCTTAGAATGTTTTCTCTCTCTGACTTTAATTCCTCATCTGTACAATGGGTGCATCTGCTTGTTGATTACTCCACTAAGTATCGATCACCTGTTGTAATGTTAAAAGATTATTATATTCTAGCCCGGGCCAGTTTGGTACAGCGGTTGGAGCGTCAGCCCGTGGACCAATGAGTTGCGGGTTCGGTTTCAGTCAAGGGCACGTACCTCAGTTGCGGTTCATCCCTGGCCCTGGTTGGGGTCATGCAGGAGGCAACCAGTTGATGTGTCTCTCTCACACTGATGTTTCTCTCTCTCTCCCTCTCTCCCTCTCTCCGTCTCCCTCCCACACTATCTGAAGAAAAATGCAAAAATATCCTCGGGTGAGGATTAAAAAGAAAGAAAGAGTATTATATTCTTAAAGTTTAATTGCTATCAAAAGTAGCATTTCTGTTCCTTGAACTAGGTGGTTATTTCTCAAAAATTCTTAACATGAAGTGTAGTCAGATAGAGGCAGCAACTCTTTGTATCCGAGAAGCGGGAGTGACGACATCTGGTTCAAAGACAGCAAGCAGATGCCACCCTCTGGGTCAGCCTGTTTACTGACTCACTTTGGCTGCCACAGGTCCCTGTCTAACTTCCCCAATTTAAAATGGGAACTGTTTTCTGAACGCAAAAATAGGTTTTAAAAGTGGCAGGAATTACTGACTGCATTTTTTTCTCTGTAAAATGAAGACATGCGGTGGGGGCTCTGACGGGCGACAATCCATCATCACAGAAACGTGCGCTGAGGGGATGGACAAGCAGACAGGGCGTTCAATCAAATTGAAATCCAAGTCTCGACACCAAGAGCTGTAGCCAGTTTTCATTTTCATGATCACCAACTAAATACATGAAACACAAACAACCACCAAGTATTTTATGGACCAATCTGTGCTCCTAGGCAGATTATGTGGGAAAATTGCGTAAAGTACAGGTTATCTGTGAAAATCAAGACATTCACGCCAGTCCTATTGCAATAAATCAAACCACCTACGCACATTAAAAACTGAAAATTTAACATTTTTGAATTTCTTTCTTCCAAATAACCTTATTACTACTGAATATAAGACACATCCGAGTAACAGATCCCAGTGGCTGTCAATAATCTCTCTAAGACCCAAAATACAAATAAACTAACCCAATTATCTTTGGTTGAAGATTAAAATGTCAGGGGGTTTCCTGTCAGTGCAGTAAGTCAGTCCGCTGAAAACAGCATTTCCAGCAGGTGCCCAGCGTCTCCGGGAGCAGCTGGGAGACGGCCGAGTCACGCCTTCCTGTCTGGGTTTCTGGGCTGTGGCCAGGAACTGTGGCCTCTACTAAAGGTAAGACGACGAACATCATGAAGACAAATCGGAGGAAACAACGCCCACGTTCCACTTCTCTCGAAGGAGTGAAGTGTTAGCTGTCACTCGGACTCCAGTGAACACAACTACAGTGGGAGAGAACAGAAGTTTCCAGACCCCAGGTCATGACAATTATACACGAATAAGAAAGAAACACGTTGGACATGAACCTAACTCGAGTGTTGGTCAGTGTTGCAGGGTCAGGGTCCGGCTCACACCAGGACAGTCTGCACAACGAGCCTTCCCTTTGCTGTGGTTCTGTTTCCTTTCAACCTAAGACTGTTTAAAAGCTTCAAAAGCAAATTCCTGAAAGGCGAGCTGGACCTAGCGATCACCCAGACCACAGCCTGCGGCACCGAGCCCAGGAGAACTCAGCTGCCTTCCTTCTCTCTTGACCTATAAACAGATAAGAAACATTCCAATTTCTAAAGCAGCAGACATGACGAGAGCGTCTGTGGGTTACCCAGCCACCCGGGCTGTGGTCTTCAGCGCTATCTGCCTCAAACTGTGCAGAGTGTTAAACTCGTTCATAAAACTGAAGAGTTGGCAGGAATCAGTCATTTTGACCACTATTCTTTTCTCTCAGATAAAGCTGGTAAGAAGAGCTCAAGCAGGAAGAGTTGTTTTTTAAAAATTAAAAAAAAACAAAAAACAACCTAACAGGATTAACTAATTTTTTAAATTAATTTAAGGTGGTTTATTTTTTAAAGGAATTTAAAAGCTTGATGAGGGCGTTAACCCAGGCTTCTAGTATACCCTATTACGTCCATAGCAATAACTCTGCCTGCTCAGCTCCTGATTCCCAAGTTGTCAGGTTTGGGTATAAGAACATTTAGGATGTATTTGAACAGCTGGATCTATGAGAAGTTCTAGAAGACTGAAACCTTGGTGAGGGGAGAAAAGGAAATTAACTTAAGGGTTTAAAGTACAAAATAAGTGGCAAGAGATATTTAAAATGTTAACGCCATAATAATAACTTCTAACAGCTCGGCCAGTGTGGCTCAGTATTGTCCCATGGACTGAGAGGTCCTGGTTTGATTCCCGGTCAGGGCACATGCCCATGTTGTGGGCTTGATCCCCAGTGGGGAGTGTGCAGGAGGCAGCCGATCAAAGTTTCTCTCTCACACCGATATTTCTCTCTCTCCCTTCCTCTCTCTCTAAAAATGTCAATAAAAACATTAAAACAAAAATAACTTCTAATAAAAAGAGATGTTAACCTGTTGACTTAAAAATTTTGAGTGACCAAAGGATAAATTATTTTGAGACTTAAGTGTACAGAAAAGCATGTTGGTATTTTGAAAAGATATGTACACACTGACCGTCAACTATGATTATTTTTTGATGATTTCATTCCATTTCCCTTTCTAAGTGACTGCTGTGTAGGCTCAGTCCCATAGATGGGGAGGGACATAACCAGCAGGCTCCTTACACCCTGTGTCCGTTTCTTCATGTTTATTTTAAGAGGTTCTCTCGAGTTCCTTCTAACCTGAGAGTCTAGATCCTTTAACAAAAAGCCTGAAGAGTTTTCTCTGTGCGGAACGAACGCTCACGTGGCTTGTTGCTCACTCTGTGGGTGTGTTTTCCCTGAACGTCAGTATGTAACACATTCTGTGCTCCAGAGAAAACATGCTTCCATGTTTGAGCAAAACAGCTGGAGATGCTGCAGAGTTTGGACAGTTACTAAGGAGTCTCCGTGTAAGGAGCAGGTGTTTCTGCCCCTCGTGCCCGGGCCAGTGCCTCCTCGCCCGGGCAGGGCAGGCTCTGTGCTGTCCCAAGTCAGGGTCCTGCCTGCTTCCTTTGCCTGGGGTCCCCTCCAAGCCTCGGCATCAGCCCCACTGCCCTGGCAAGCCTTTCCTGGCCCGGGCCTGCTCCTAGGCCTCCCTGTTCCCACAGTCCTGAAAGACTTCCCTGTTGCACTTATCAAGGTGACCGTCCCAGCCCATTACTTCCCGCCTGCCTACGAGACGCACCGGATCCAGGACAGGAGCCCCGTCTCTGGCCTGCCCGCGGGGTGCCTGGCTCACCTGGCCTGTCACTGTGTTTGCGAGGATTTAAAAATAAGAACCAAGTGAGGCCCACATGTGTCTCTAAAGCGTGGGTTTGAGCCCCTGCCTAAATGAAACCACTCGGTTTCCACGTTTCACAGTCTGAACGTGGCTGCCACTTTAATAATACATGTGCTCCTCACCGGAGAAGCAGAAAATGAGCTGGAAAGCCACCAGAGAGTGACAGGTGCGTGGCAGACACATTGCTACCTGAACATTGAAATCAGTACATGCTTTCATGTAAATGAGACGTCCAGATACATGGACAAATAAAATGTTAAAGCACCTTCGAGTGATGGGGGGTCATCTCAGAGCTCAGCAAACACTCTCTTTCCTTGTGGTGGACACTACCCTGCCTCCAGTCCCACAGGTGAGAAAGCAAGAACTTCGAGAGGTCGGGTTACTGCGCTTCCTGGGGCCAATGGGCTACAGCCTGAACCCAGGGGCGTCTGACCCCAGTCTAGGCTCCAGACTAAATGCTGATCCACTTTCCCGAAAAAATACATATTATTGACACAGTTTATCTCATTGTTTTCTCATTGTTCCAAAGAAGACTTGAAGCATTCAGTTGGCACATAACTTGATAGTGGATTCTTTATAGCATCCAGGGAGGTACGTAACTGGTATACACATGGAAAACAATGATTTCATTGGCAACATTGAATGCACATTGTCTCTTTAAAAAACAAGCTGACAGCTACAGACTAAAGTAGCTGACTTGCTTTGCTTTGATTTTTAATAACTAAATATAAAGTTTTATAGCATCCTCTCTCTATGTACTATACCTCCAAAACCTTTGCATCTTCCTATTATAATCTAAATGCGTGAAGGAGAGAAATTGTTTCCCTCCCATTTAACTTAATAATCAGAGCACTGTTTCTTCAGAGTGGGAGGCATGCTTGGGAAGGCGACACAGCAGAGCCCCACAGGAGTGTCTCCAGGGGACGTCTGCCACTAACCAACTCTGATACTCAGTCTGGTAAACCACAATGCTCTGCCAGAATGCGTGTGTATCCATGTGTACACGTGTGCGTGAGTGCACATGTGTGTGAGTGTGCCTGTGTACTGGATGAGGTGACCCAGGGCACAGGTTGTAAACATTGCTCATATCATCTCTGCAATATCCTCTATTGAATGATCTTCCAAAATCACTATTTTGAAAGCCAGCATCACAAAAATTATAAAAGGGGAAGGGGTTAGGAAGATTTTTTTCCCCAAAACTGAATATATTGGATAAGTACTGAAAAGGAATAGCCAATGTAATCATAATGGCCATGATTACACTTATTTGATATATTAGTATATAGGTCATTGTCGCACCATTTTAACAACACCATTGAATGCTTTTCCTCATCTTGTCCCAAGTCCCACAGCCCCAAACCTCGTGTGCCCAGAGCAGCCTCCAGTGACCTTCAGAGACCAGCACTCAGGAAAACAGGGCACCGGCAATAAACACAACCAGGCCGCTACGTGTCTGGATGAGTTGTTCTATGTCTAAACAGGGAAAAACAAAGCATTCCATGTGCGTCCTGTAAACAGCTCATTACAAACAGATGATGGTAATTGGTTTTGTCAGTAATGGGCCAAATATATCCACCAGCTCTAATCTAACCCATTTTCACTGGGCAGTGAACTTCTGGATGGCCTCAGACATACTGCCACCTTTATCTCACCCACCCAGTGCCCAGAAAATGCTCAGAAATGTTGTTTCCAAGAATTTTGGTGACTTCTTTCTTTTCTTTTTTAAAATCCTCACCGAAGACATGTTTCCACTGACTTTTAGAGAGAGAGAGAAAGGGAGAGAGAGAGAAACATCGACATGAGAAACAACTTAAAAGTTCCAATTTTGCAAAATTCATCACTGCAGGTCTTTCCTGCCAGGGGACCCTGCCTTCTGTGACTTTTCAGAGGCATATTTCAGTTTCTTAATGCCCTATAGGTAACCAGAACTGTTTCAGGGAGAAACAACATCAGGTCACTTCAAGGTCATCAGCCTGCCCCTCCACACCTGGCACCTGTGATGGTCCCCAAAGTGGTTCTTCCAGGGCAGAGAAGGAGTCCCCTTGTTCCGCTGGGAAATGGCTTCTGAGTAAGAGCCTCCAGTTATTCTTTAAACACTGACCTGCTGTGTCCTGGGAGTCATCAAACTCTACGTTGAAAGCGTGGCCGTTGTTGACGATTCTCTTCGATGTCGCCTGCTCATAGCAAATGCTCAGGGGCTTCAGCTTGGGGTCATGAGCTGCTGCTTTGGTGTCGATGTCAACAGGGGACTGGCGGTTGCCCTTGGCGATGGGAAAGTCCTTGTGCCAGTGCTCCGGTCCTGGGTTGAGAAGGGACCTGTGAGCCCCAGTGTGGGGACGGGCACACCCACACCCCTAGGAAAGGGCAGTGATGCTTGGTTCCCATTTTGGCAGCACCACTGAGCTGAATAACCTGGGAGGGGGCAGGGAAACACTCGTGCCTCAGTTTCTCCATTTCTCTTATGGGTTAATACTGACGTCTCCCTGTAGAGACTGTTGCGAGAACTGGCATCCCCACGGGGAAAGTTCTTAGAGCAGACGGTGAGCTCCAATTCCACGGTGACTGCCCTACAATTATTCACTATTTTCATGCCATTTCACCAACACGCAGCCAGGGCAATGGGCAGACACAAGGCAGGCCGATGGCTGGGATCTGGGACATGGGATCTGGGATATAGGATCTGGGACATGGGAGCTCCCTTCGGACATCCCAGCGGTTCAGGACAGCGTGTGTCCTGCTGCTGTATGGAGGGCAGTCACGGCTCAGACAGCCAAGATCCCCACAGCCCAGGACGTCCCAACCCCCCAAAGATGCATCTTGCCGCTGATCGGATCCGTGACCGGTAAAGCCGGGTTCCTGTGACCCCTGACATGAGGGTCTGGAGATGAAGGGTGAACTCAGAGATCAGCGAAAGGATTCAAACCGCCGGAAATGCCCGGGACAGGTGGTGCGAGAGCCTTCACCACAGGTGGCGCTGAGGATGGGGTGCGGGGGTGCGAGGCCCCTACTTCCTCTGATCTAACATTACCCTGTGCAACCTAGTTTCTCTTCTCCTAGGTCCAGGCAGGAGGGCCTCTGGCTCGGGAACTCGGGAAGGACCGTCCTGGCGCCTCACGCCAAGACTGCACCTCCCTCCGGCCCTGTGCGCTGCGGACGCGGGGATTTCGGGCAGCGGGCAGGCCGGGCGCGGGCGCCACGCGCATGGGGTCCGGGCTGGGGCGATGGGTACCCCGCCGGGGCACCTGGGCCGCACGATCCGGCGCCCACGGCCACCCAGGTGCAGAGCCGGGCCGCCCGCGCACTCACCGTTGTCCGGGTCGTATCCCCAGTGGTGGGACATGGTGGCGGCGGGTCAGGCAGGCAGGAGTTGGCGCGGGTCCAGCGGCGGCTGCTCGGGTCCGGCACGGAGTGTCCGCTGTCGTGCCGGCACTGGCTTTTATAGGCTTCCGCCAAGTTGATGCTGGGGGCGGCCGGGGTGGGGGCCCGGGCGGACCTGGCGGCGGAGGTGAGGGCGGAGGTGCTGTCCCCGCGCAGGGCGGGCCGGGCGGGGACAGCGCCCTCTGGGCTGCGCCTGCTGCGCTGGGAGTGCCTCTCCGCGGCCGCGCCCGAGCCCCTGGGCGCACCGGCTCCCACTCGGGGTCGCGCGGGGCTGCGGGCGCCTCCGCCCACCCTTTCTCCGGGGCGCGGTGTCCAGCGGCGGCTCCCACTGAGCGGCCCGGCCCGCTCCTTCCCTCCCGGCCATTGTGATCGCATCCCTGGCCGCGAGCCGGCGGCCCCGCCCGTGCCGGGGTCTCGGCCCCCAGGGCCACCCCCGGTCCCCACCCGGCTCACGGCTCTTTCGGAGCTGTGACCTTGGGGCAAACAAGGATGCGGTCGGCAGGCTGGATGCCAACAGCCCGCGCCCCCCGCTGGCCGGCTGTGGAATAGAGCCCGGAGCGCGGGTGAGGACAGCGCGTCAGGGCCGGGACGCCCCTCCGCAAGGGAGCCTCGCCGCCCTGCCAGGGTCCCCCCACCCCACCCCGGGCCCCTGGTGGCCGGAGATAGCGCTAACTGCACATCCAGCCGCGGACGGGGTCCCCTGCCCTCGGTGAACGGCTTTTCCGACTGAACAGTGGATCCCGAAGGCGTCTTTGCTTCTTCACGTTAACTAGTGACGCTTTTCTAGAATTAAATCCACCGAGTTTTTAAGAGTAGTCGAGGAAATGGAATACTGTTACCCAGTTTCGAGTTCAACCAGAGCAGGAATGAAAAAATTAAGTGGGACAATGACCCTAAAAAATGCAAATCATGCACTTTAAGTATTTCATGTTCCATGACGCTGTCACGTGCGGCAGCAAGAAACACGATTTAATAAGAACAGAAGCCCAGCTGGGCTCACAGCTGGCTCTCAGCTCCGGCCCTGCTGCCCCGCGGAGGCTGCGGACAGTGGAGACTTTGTGGGTGTCACAAGTGGTTGTGTGTGTAGCCTGGCACCCCGGGATGCGGCTGGCACTCGGACAGCCTCTCGAACCGTGCTCAGCCCAGCCATGGCACCCAGGTGAGAACCTGCTCACGCGCACCTATGAGATGCTTCTGTGAAAGGTCTGAAAAGTTACCAAGGTGTCAGGACACCCGTGAGCCCAAGGACAGTGCTTTACCCAGAATATGGCCTCGCTCATCTTCCATTGGTTGGATTGGGTATAAAAGAATAAAATCGCCCCTCTGCATGTTGGGACTACTGTCTGTTCACTCGCTGGAGCAGACCTCCCACCGTGGCCTCCCTGCTGGGATCGCGACCCCTTCACTGGGTCAGGAGTAGCTTCATCACATGATGAAACTTCTCTTTGCTTAGAAATGACCAGCATGCACGGGAATTTTTTTACTTCCTTTTAAAAACAAGAACAACCGAGCTTTCCCATGCCCATGTGGGCATTATAAGTAAGCATTTCCTCCTGGCGAAGGGAAAGAGTCAGGATTCTTCAATGCCATGGCCAGAGGCAAAACAGCTTTTCCCTCCCCAAATCATCCTCGTCTGAACCCACTGTTGGTGAATCCCCCCAGGCTGGGACAGTGAATGAAATAGTGGCCCCGCTTGTAAGTCCACGGGCCGCAGGAGACCCTACAGCCTGTCTTGTTAGGAGAAGGCTCACACCTTGGGGTGATACCCAGGCCCCAGCAGGAATAAGATAGGGCACCTCTGTTTATAGTTCTTTACACTCTAAACATGTCAATTTGCTTATATTTTATTACAGATATACTCGTATAATGCTGTGTGTCTATCATTTCTTTTGAAACCCTGGTAGGTGCTCTGACACGATGTCCTGGTGGGCTGCACCACCCATAGCCTGGACTCATCACTGGCTGAGGGGCACTGGCTGAGCCAGGTTTTGGTGGTCACACATGCCCTTGGCTCTGCTGTCTGCCCCCTTCCCATGGCACTGACATCCCTGTTTACCATGCACTTCGTGCCAGGGTGCCAGGCACCATGGCCATGCCTGATAAGCCTTCCCTCAGATCAGTACGCCCTTGGCTCTGCTGTCTGCCCTCTTCCATGGCACTGACATCACCGTTTACCATGCACTTCGTGCCCAGGGTGCCAGGCACCATGGTCATGCCTGATAAGCCTTCCGTCAGATCAGTACGACCGTGTTCTAAAGCTCAGAGGTCCCCCTTATCCATTCTTCCTTCTCCTTGATATTTCTGGGTAGTTCTCTGACTTCATTTTGTTTCTTTCATACTCTACACATAAACACTTTTGAAAAACATGAAATTCTTTCCAAAAGAGGGCTTTTAAGCCATTTGTGTATACCTCTAAAGTTACACATCAAGTATGGCATGTTTTGGAGAGACCTGGAGAGTATTATCCTAAGCGAAACAAGCCAAGCAGAGAAAGATAAATACCACACGATCTCACTTATTTGCGGAATATAATGAACATAACAGTCTGAGGAATTGGGTCGACCCTGAGACGTGGACGTAGGGTACAGACTGACAACCCTCAGAAGAGGGGGTGGTGGGGGGAGGGAGGAGATAAACCACAGAACTTATATGCATGTACAGATAACCGATGGACATGGACAACAAAGCCTGGGACGGGGGGGGGGGGGGGAGGAGGAGGGTGTCAATGGCAGAAAAAAAAGAAACATCTGTTACAAAAATAAAATAAAATAAAATAAACGAAAACAGAAAACAAGTATGGCATGTCCTTGCCCAGCTGAGAGCTTTGCCTCTTAGCACGTGGCGGGCTTTCTTCTTGAGGTGGCGGTTGTTTGCAGTCCCTCTGGCCTGCTCTGCCCTCTCGGGCTTCGTCAGTGTCCCAGGCCCGTTCAGCGGTGCAGGACCAGAGGCTCAGCACACCTCACCGTCTGGCCAGCGGGCCCTCTGTTAGAGAAAACAAACTACAAGGGAGAAATTGGACCTTCTCTGACGAAATAGCATTAAAATATTGCTTAATTAAAGAAACGTATAGTAGGCAGGCAGTTAACACCTTAAACTATCAGCTGAGCCACAGAATACCATTCCCCCACCCAAATAGACCCTGAGTCATGTCTGGTAAATGCACTTCTCAGCTATGTGATAAGAAAGCTCTACGTAGTGATTACAAGTGCATGAGTACCTAGGTGGCGTAGAGTCTGTGTTGTGTGGAGGGCAGGGATTTCCCTGAACTGACCACCTGGTTGGTTGGGGTCAGGTGGGATGTCTCCATACAAAATGCTTAGTGAATTTTCACAATCATACTACTTTGCTCCGCTCTGGCCATGACAAGACTTATCCTTA